ACCATGAGCAAGGCGACACCTACTCGGTCACGACTTAACCTCAACCCGGATAGGAGGAGGTGTTTTGTTTCAAACACCCCCTCCCCGGCGTAGGTTCTACAAGACAGACCTCACACATTCGCTCCAAGGGACGTAAGGCGGGCCAGCTTGGCATCTCTTTTTTCGCTTCGTCAACCTATCAAACTCACGTAGAGATTGAATAAGGTAAGAACGAGAAGAAGAAACGATCGACGATACTCGTTTATCACACAGGTCTTCAATCAACTACTGAGACATCTACTATCTTCACGGGTGAACAGTGATTGTAATTGTGTTACATTGTTTCTGTTGAAATTCGGTAGACGCTCTTTGCCTTGTGTTTGGGAAGTGATCAGTCGTCAGGAAGTTACATATTTTTAGATGGTATTGTGGTGTGTAAACTTCCGGTCCGCTTTACCGCGGACAGTGATAGTACGAACCATGTGGTATCTACCTGTAGCTAGGTAGGTTGTATATAAGGAGACAAGAGCGTGTCTACGCATCTCTATCACATTTCGTCTCTCACGCATTTCATCGTTTCGGAACCAGCTTTCATGTGAGGATCGCTCGAAATTCCTGATTCCCTGCCGAGCCCATCTAGGAAGCTTGACCACTGTCGCCGCTTTGTGAATATATATTATAATCACTGACTTTTGCTATCGCCACTGTATTTTTGTATTTGACCACTGCCATCATATTATTAATTTCCATTGAATATTGTACTACCACTCTATTGGTCTCTGTCATTGTAATTGCTGTGCAGTAATTTGTATTGATTTGTAAACTTTGTGCATTTTGTAACATATTTATTGATTGAATACCACCTGTTGGGTGTTTTCACTCTAGGTTCTCTTACGTACAAATCTCTGGGTTAACATATTCCTTCAATCTGGGAATCGATACGTAACATCAGCCATACTTCAAGGTGGTTCCGTTGGCAAAGAGCTTGCTTCCACCAGTAACAATCAGGCAGTTTATAAATAGCCCTGTCAGCACCAGCAGCCTTGTGCAGTGACGAGTAACAGGTTTTATCATATACTGGGTTGGTTTCTCGGCAGGATAAAGCCAACGGATAAAAACGATATCCGTTGGGGTCATATGCGGATAGAGATGCAAATATCAAAGGTCAAGTAGGGACTACTTTCACTGTTTATAAACAAACATGGCGTCGCCCTCGTCATTCGGCGATCGAGTCAGAATTAACCATCGGGAATCTGGATAAACTACAGGGATAATTGCTATCATTATCAAAAGAACAGTCTAATATACTGAAAATCAGTGTCTAACTGTGACGTAGCTAAGGTATTTTATAAGTTTTGGCAACTTTGGAGATATACATTTCGAAACAATTTTGCGAGGGCACGAGGCCTAGCCAAGCGGGATCAGTACCCATATCTGTGCTTGTAGACCTCTGCGGCTTGAAACCTTCTCCACAAATTAAAATAGTTGGATTTGGCCGAAATATGTTTGAATTGTTACCTTGTTTCGTTTTTGTCGCTGTGTGTACATCTGACTACACTTCTTAACGTTATGACAGGACAGACCGACTATCAACAACGTCTGATCGTGGCCCTGACGTCTCATATACTAGGGTTAGAGTAGCTTCCCTTTGACAAAGGGCAGTTACTCAAGCGGACAGACCGATGGATTGCCGCGAAAGGCAATTAAAAACAACTGTTGTGTTGCATATATGTTGCTTCGCAACTGTATAAGAAACAGATTTCAGTTGGAACTATATTGGCTACTGTCACTGTCCGACTGACACATCACTTTTCCTGTGACGTAATTAATATTAATGCGCGCATTCCAGGAAAACTCGAAATGTTTCGGTAATGTTTGTGAAAGAGGGAAAGCGATTTTGAAGCACAGAATTAAAGAATGACATTATATGATAAAGAGGTTATCACGCTTGTGTGTTTGGGTATGGTAAATAACCTGTATTGGGAATAAACACTATGTATTTAGCTCGCCAAGGATTGCTAAATACAATGTTTGCGTGATAACCTCACTGTTACTAGGGAATTGTTCCAATAATTAATAACTTCCTCCATAGGCGTATAACCCAAACAACATACATGTATATCAAGTTAAAATAGCATATAAATGTAATGTCAAATAAATTAATCGGAATATTAAGCGCATCATCGCGTGTAAAGAATACAGCATGTTTAATCCATATGAATATGTAACCATTTAGGTCACTCGGCTGTTGCAGTACCCAGTGCGCATGGCGTGTTCTAAAACCTGAACGTTTTCTTTGTGATGACTTCACCTTACCAATGATTAACTTAACCTTCGTGTCGAGTAATATCCCCGCAGCTCGACCTCCAGCCTTTGAGTTAACATTTCACAAGTTGTGAGGTAAAATCGAGCATGCTCTTTCTAAAATCATTTCAAAGAGCGTCATACGACTTTTGTTCAGAAGATGTTTGATCAAGGTTACAATACTTGTCGTGGAGCTGTGCTCCTGAGACCAGGGTGTCATAAAACAATTTTCACTGACAATGATCACTAATTGATTAAGGATCGAAGTTGTATTTGTTGTCCTTCATCAGCTGATGAAGACAGTGCCTCATGTGAGCAAATTCCATGATGCGCGAACATGAACGTCAACAAATACAACTTCAATCCTTATATTGAGTGAGTGAGTGAGTATGGTTTTACGCCGCTTTTAGCAATATTCCAGCAATATCACGGCGGGGGACACCAGAAATGGGTTTCACATATTGTACCCATGTCGGGAATCGAACCCGGGTCTTCGGCGTGACGAGCGAACACTTTAACCACTAGGCTACCCGACAGACGGCAGAAAATGGCGACTACGTCAATGTCGTTCACTTGAAACAAAAGTTGCACCCAGTAAAGTTAGAGTTGGAAAGACATCCATAGCCGGCTGATGGTGACAATGGAGACATATCAACGTTCTGTGAACTTTGGGTGTGTGTCTGAGTCATACTACGGCTGCTGATGACGGGGACTACCGCTTAAGACGGCACGGCTGGGTTTCCCGAAGCAATACACGACATGATCTGTCTGGCTTCACAGCCATCATATATACCTTGAATCGATGTCGCACTTAGTTTTCCCTAATGATTTTTATTGTTATTTTTAGACATTGAGGAATTCCCTAAAGTAGTTATGTATGCCTCCGCTCGATTGACAAGGTAATCACGTGACATAGTGACGTTCATCGGGAAATGAACGACAGGCAGCTTGGTAGTGTTCAACTAGGAGAGGTCACCCGCTACTGTCAATATTAAACCATGAACATGCTGATCACCTAAGCAACCGCGTAGCAGCCATTACAAAAGATAGCTAAAACACTTTGACAAGACAATCGGCAAGACGCCAAACAGTCCGCCTAATTGGTAGATTTCATTCGGTGTATGAAAGTCAGAGGACTATAGTCCGTGTACACAGTTACCAGTTCAGTGGTGTTCTTCACAGTGATCAAAAGTGTGTGATTAAACTGTTAGAGAATATAATTTACAGACCAAAAAATCTCTGACAATGCCCTAATGAGCATAAAGACGTGGAGCTATGACTAGCAGCGCCGACAGACGAGCATGTATGAGTAGGGAGGTGCTACGATCACTGTGCAGTGACGAGCTGAGTTTTATAACCCGGTGACAACATTCAAGAACTCAGTAAAGCTTTTGACATGTGGTAGACACGTGAAGGACATTTCCAAATTTGACGCATCCGTTACAAACATTATGCCAGATACAATTCCCTATCTTGGCTCTTATAATGTTTCCGCGGGGTTTTTTTCAGGTGAACCAATGACAGAAACTGTTCATCAGAAATTAAGGTTTGAAAGTAACATGCTGGAATACTTTGTTCAGAAGGATTGTTAGGAATTAATATGTTACGTTTCGGTGTAGGTTCTAACACCGTTATCAAGCAAGTGTGTCAGAACCTACACCGAAACGTCGCTCCTAATTGTAATAAAGAAGTTTTTATCCATATATCGTAATCTTTCTCAGTACTCCTCTTCTCAGAAGTTATTCATCGTTATTCGTCGTCTTCATGGAGACCCGGCAATCGCAACCATCAACCGTCACTTGCTTGATAACGGTGTTAGAACCTACACCGAAACGTCGCTCCTAATTGTAATAAAGAAGTTGTTGATTCATATATCTTATCCGTCCATGTTACTATAAAGTTAGTTGACAAGAGTTACAATACAAAGGCCACAGCAAAGCTTTAAAAGTTGTTTCCATGTTTGCATGTGTTTGTGACGGTGCCACCTGTGAGGCAGGATCTGCTCACCTTTTGTCGAACACCTGGTATCATCACTATTCGATAGTGATTTGTCAGTACTTGATCCTGTATAAAACCTATCCATATATGACACACTGGACTATCCTACCGACTTAAGCTGACATCTAGAATGTTTCGCACATAAAACCACCATTTTGGATACTAGTGGAAGGATGAATGACCAAACAAAAACGTTGCACTGATTTATTGCAAAAGTCAAATTCTAATGACATTCGTGACCATTGACCTCCGTACAATGATAGGATGAAAGACGCTGTCTTAATGTTGAAATATCATGATCCATTTACGCCAGAACCACTCATGTTCAGCGACCGATATGATGTGCTCTTCGTTGTCCACAGAGTCGGCAGATCGCGAGTGAATGATTCATCAATTCTTGCCATCAGGGTACATTACTCCTTCATGGTTTTCACCATTACTCGAGAACTAAATTCATGAAGCAACATCCGTTCAACTCCACAAACTCAAGTGAACCTTTCGTCCATTCGGGACACAAATTGAACTGAACCATCCCAGCTGAATTCTAATGATCATGAATCATAGCTTGTGCCCTGTTTTACTTCTGATGAGATCTGACAATGTCAGTCCTTCCCTGTTTTGTGACAGTCACAGACAATGTTCAGCAGTGGGACGCTCAACATGACCTTCACCCCGTGTGTCAGTGTGACATCTTAAAACCACAGTTCTTTCACAGTCACTAATGAAATGCTGCTCGGATCTTTCTGCTGCCTAGCTCACACGGTGGCCTGTAGTTGTCGACGATGCAGTCGCCGTCGCAGTCCCCCCAACACAGACTTCGAAGGGCCTTTAACTGAAAGCAGAATACATTTTTTAACTTATACATGGAATGATAAGAGACAATGGATTTAATCTTAACTTTTTGACTGAGGTCATTGTTCTTATATAAGATACATACGTATGGTATTCTCATTGGTAGTGATCATTATCTACAAGCGTACACATATACTGAGGGGCAAAAGAAAGTATACCAAAAGTGGTGTTGAATGTATGTCTATTGAACCAACATCTCCGTAGCTGAATAATAATGTTTAAAATGAAATTGATTCAGTAAAAAGTGAGATAAGAAATGAATTTGCAACCACAAGACCCTCTACCATGTTGAAAATGTGATGAAAAATGCAAATTTACCTTTTTTTAAAGATATGATGTCTCGGATGCCCATCAGTAGATGTGTATTATGTGAAATATTTTTTCATTATTAAAAGTTTTCAACAAAATCATATTTTAAAAGATATATATAACCACGTATGAATGCTGACTTACCGCCAGCACAGTTTATTTTTGGCAATATAATATCGTTAACCTTAGATATTGAAGTTAAACATTTGATAAATCAACTTGTAGGTATAGTTTCTTTTGTTCCTCAATTTGTTTATTGTATCTATTACACCCCTCAAACGTTTGATTAAATCAGATTTTAATCAATTTTCAATTCACTACTTTTTCTATTAATGTACATAATCTGTGCTTACCTGACTCTCCGACACCACCATGTGTTCTTTAAATACTATCCACGTGACACTCTCGTAGCAGGGGGGCGTGGTCAGAGACCCGGGATAAGTCCAGTACTCGGGCATTGTGTCTGGAGAGAAGAAGAATTATTGTACATGGTCTCTTTATAAACATTCAGGGCTTTGGTTAAGAATCCTTATTCAATTTAGACCCAATTTTGGTTACATTTATACGAAATAACAATGACCAGTGTCAAAAGTGCATTTTCGGCATATACGTAATTTAAATATTTTTTTCACATTGAGTCATCTAGTGTATATAGTTGAAATTATTGTTCTCCGTGCAATGATATAAAATTCCCAATGAATGAATACAATACTGGATATGAACGGAGCCCTATGTTTCTGGAATAAGGAAAATGAATTGACGGATACCGAGAAGGGTAAAGACAGATGGACAGATGGAAACATGGATGTATGAATGAGAGCTTAACTCACCTGGGAGGAAACATTTGGGGTTGTACTGGCCTTTGACCTGTTCATGTTTGGAACGGAACTTGACAGCATCTAAACCGTCGGTTAAAGGTTTGAAACCCGGATGCTCAGCGCCAACCTGAAGACAAATAGGTATGAATTACCCTCAAATGCGTGTCACTTGCTTATCTCTCAATGCGTTCACTTAAATGTTGGATGAGACAGGTTTGGAGCGAAGGGTTGAAACACAGGAACCCCAAGTTCAGATTAGAATGCTCAAATTGTATGTCTTGTTATGATCCAACTACCCTAATTTATGTATACTGCTTGATTGTAGAAAGGAATATAGTTTCATTTTAATTAGGGACATCGACCTAAAATCAGTAAATCGTCAAAGTGTAAGTAATTCATAAAATATACAATTTACTTTTTACGTTTTGCAACAAACCTTTTCCTTGTATTACATATATTTTACATGCGCTTCATTCGCTCCGCGGGCCTAAAGGAAAAATGTACACGTTCCTTTAAACCGAAAGTTTGGTTGAGGGACCTACCTCCAAGAAGATGCCAAACACTGCCAAACCATCATGCTTGTCTGCAGCTTCACCGAAGCTTGAATATTTATCACGGTTCCAATGGACGAGATGAAGCTGAAAGCAAATATCAAGTTGCAAAAAACGAACATAACATCGAATCGAATATCGAAAATATTGGATATTGTTTATTTAAGATTGTACTTGTTTACTTCTGGCCAGTCTAAGTGGAGAAAAATTATGACTCAATACTTTAGAATGTATGTAATTTAGTTCACATATGTACACGTACATGGGGAGACAATACGTTTGTCGTGGTCTTGTGATTTACTGAAATAACCATTAATACACTGACGACGGATATATTTGACATGTGGTCTTGGTGAGAGCATGGACCCTAAATATCGTATTAAGTGTCCATGGTGAGAGTACCTCGGCTGGGAATGTCTTGCCCTCCACTGTGTGCTCCGACCCCCTCTCGTCACATGACCCCCAGTGGAGATGGAACTGCTCAAGTTGATACGTGCTGTCCAGGGGCCCCCCTGAGATAGCTGCAACACAGTTGCACAATCAGCATGCCATATATGGGCAGATTTCGAGTAGTGAGTGAGTTTAACAGTATTCCAGTTATATCGCGGCGTGTCAGCTTAATGTGGGAGGAAAGCCCGAAGTGTTGCAGGTCTCAGACGTTTACCACTTCCGTGAAACCCACGACCACGGGTATGGTGTTGACAAACCTATAAACGTAATCGGGGCGAAACGGGATTCGAACCCACAATAATAAGTTTCTGGGGGGCCTAAGGGATGCAACTCTGCACAGCGATTCGCGGTGACTTAGGCGACCGGCCCAACCGTGCCCCCAGAATTGGCGTAATTGAGGAAGGGACAGTTGGATGTGGACGGATGGTTTGAGGGGGCATAGTTGGATAGGTGTGGATGATATGGTGATTGCAATGTGGAGTTAGGAGATGTGAGATATTTGTTGTTTAACGCCGCACTCTGCAATAGTCCAGCTATATGACGTTGGTCTGTTCATTATCGAATCTGGACCAGACAATCCAGTGATTGATATCATGAGCATCGATTTATGCAATTGAGCGTCACCATCTGACCCCGTTCGTCAACTCTTACGACAAGCATAGTCGCCTTTTATGGTAAGTATGGGTTGCTGAAGACCTATCCTATCTTCACGGGTCGGAATGAGGAGAGTTTATGTGTTACCACCTCATGCTGACACGGGGTAGAAATGCCACAACAACCCTTGCTTCTCCTAAGGGTGGAGTAAAATTGCTCGGGTGAGCAGACTCGATGACTTGGTTGATTGCATTGAATCGCAATAACGTTGGTCGTTGTTCAAGCTTTCTGTCACTGGTTTACATGGCCCACACTCGACTATTATCAAGCTTCTGATCTTGCCGACGTTAAACAACATTCACTGTCTCGCGTGAAATAAACAAGATGTTCATTTAAAGTGACTCACTCGACGGTTCCCGGATGTTGGCCTTGACGGAGAAACCTGTGTTCTCGAAGTCCATGTTCTGTTCGATGAAGTACTTGACAGAAAGAGGGTTGGCCTCGAGCTTCTGGTCGAACTCGACATTGGTCGAGTTGATGTCCACAGGAGACTGTTGCATGCCCGCGGCTATGGGGAAGTTGTTGATCCAATACTTGGGTCCTGAAACACCAGGAATATCACATGATGACAATCTTGACTGACATTGGGAGAGTACCCAGGTTTGCTACCAGAAATACAGTTCTTCTGACAATCTGGGTGATGCAGAAGGCTGCAGTGTTGGGGAGTCTTCACAATCTCCGAAAAGTTCTGAATGGGTTCGACTAGGCAGCGCTTCCTGGGAGAAGTCGTATTCGATGTCTGTCTGCGTGCAGAGGGAGCAAGGGCCCTGAGCTGATGATGAGCCTAACCAGCCTGTGCCAGGATCACCCAAACCCTCTTTGCAGCATTTCTTATTTTAATCTGTACATGATAACGATAATAATAATTTAAGTTATGACAAGTTTAAATGCATTTTGAAATGTTATAAATTCAACCCAATGTGAGGTTAAATGCCCATATGTAAGACAACTTTCTGAGGCATAAAAACATTAAACATATAACAAATGTATTTGGCATTTCCTAAAAGGCATTGTTTCGTTTATTTCATTCATGTTGTGAGACGCCCCCAAATAAACACACCGTTATTGATACTGACATCAAAAACAACGTAAGCGTCATTTCATGAAGAAGAAAGAAGAAAATTATTTTATTATAGTGCCACCTGGTGTTTAAAAACATTAAAAAACATTACACGTATACATACGTATGATTTATAAAAACATCAGCCGACCCATGAAGGATCTATGAGGCACTTAAAATCATTAAATTATCCATTATATAAATTGGCAAGAATAATACACGAACATAATCGAAAGTACACACACACGCACGCACGCACGCACGCACACACACACAGATAAATATTACACGCATTTCATTTTCAATCACACATGCAGTTTACCACATCCACTCAATATCACGTGCGCATACATCACATACAAACACTACCCACATACTCATCTATCACTCACAAAAACATACACATTATATACATCACTGCCCGGCACGTTGTCGCCGGAGAAACATTGACGTCACTGTTGCGGCCAGAGGTTTACACAAGCTGACACACAGCATAAGGAAGCGAAGTTGATCACAAGGGTGGAAACTCAGAAACTGTGAATTGGCAATGCAGGCTTTCCTCCATAGGTCGTAGCGGATATCAGAGAAAAGGGTACAGTTGATCAGGAAATGGGTCTCGTCTTCAACTTGATGTTCATCACAGAACTGACATATACGGTCATTAAGTGGGGTAATCGGTCGCCGGAATCTGCCGAGCTCAATTTATAAAGGTAAAGTCGCACATCTCAATTTTGCAAGAACACTACGCTGTTGTCTGTTCAGAATATATGTTCATGTGTGTACTGTATTGGATTAAGCCGTGCGTGGCGGCACCGAGGGAATTCACTGGGGGAAGATGTAACTTAACACGTCCATACGATGGACGCCCATATTGGTCTCAGACGGATACACCTGCTCATTCGTGGCAATAACATTTCAGATTTTGGATGGTGGTACTTTTTCTCTGTATTAATACTCATTGTATATTGTTTCGCAAAGGACCAGTTATTGCTTTATACGCGTGACTGACTATGCACGCGCTTGTTTATACACTATGGTAACAACCATCACATTTAAACAGGTACATATCTATGGTTTATCGGTAATTTATAAACAATGTTATGAATAATAATTTAATCCCATTAAGACAGTAACAAAATGTTAAATAACACATACGAAGGATGCACAAATTACAAATGTCCGTTTTGTTCAGCCAGGTTAATATCATTTCCTGAAGAAAGGATTTCATCCTGCCTCAAGAGTATGTTTTGTTGATGCTTTTAACTGTATGGTCATTATAAGATAATTTACCTAAACACTATTTTCTAGTAATTGTCTGTCACTTTATGTCACGTGGTACTAAGGATTAATGTCCACAGAGAGCCATCAGGGACGGCATACGTCATGCACAGTCCGCCGTGCGCCTGAGTGAAGGCACTGCGGGTACCGGGAGGTCAATGGTGTACTGCCAGGCAACTGACACTTGATAAGTCCTCCCTGACAACATGAATCGGGGATTGTCACTTATATCCTTCTCTTAACGTAGATTTGTTATGGTGTCACCTGTGATGCCTTCCCATGATGAGGGTTTAACTTAAGGTTAACGTATCAAAGATACTTCTATTGGGAGGATCTTCAAAAGAGAATAAACTTCAATTTAAATTGGGCATTTGTTTTTCCAGCGCCTGAGACATGCTATCATATTTGGCCTCACCCAAAATGTCCTGCAATCTTTTGAACATCTGAAGACGCACCTATTTCCCAAATTCAAAAGTGAAAATGCATCTTGCTCAAATTTCAATGAAGCTATTCAAAACAAATTTCTGATTAAAGGTAATCACGTTAACACTGATACCTCCCAAAAACCTAGATATTAAGGAATTATTACCGATAAATTTAGGCTTTAGAAGTATGTTTCAGCAGTAAAGTGTAAAAGAAATTATATTTGGGATAACACTTTCTTAGCAAAGTACAGATTCTCGTACCTTTTGGGTAAAAGTCCGGGATTCGAACCCACACTTGCCATAGCGAGGCACCTAAACGCCAGCACACAAAGTCAGCGATCTAACCCACTCAGCCACCGAGGCTTCCACACAAAAAGATTGTGATCTAGACTACTAGTTGTCGGACTTTCATTTTTGTGGAAGCGTCGAGGGCTGAGTGGGTTAGATCGCTGACTGTGTATTCATAGTAAAGTGTAGTCTGTCTTACAGACCCTGATACAAATATATATCAAATACAGCCCATGCAAGTCTAAAATGTTTGAGAGTCACTGGGCTCCTTTTTATTATATTTTTATTAAGATAACTGAACAACTGTTTTTTTTATGTACGATATGTTCATTTCAGAGACTAGATTTTAGTCTAAGTAAAGTGTAAAGATAATAGATTAGCTCTAACTAAATTAAGTTGCCATCATCTGGAGATTGAAAGAGGCAGATACACCAACACGTGTGCCGACCAGAGAAAATCTGAAATCTGTAATCTAAACAAGACAGAAGATGAAATCCACTTCCTTGTGCACTGTCCTAATTACAGTTATGACATGCAGCTAGATTGATTAAACTGTCAAAATAACAAAACCGTTGCAAGGATCTTGAATCTGTTCTGTTAAACAAATTATCTGACATGCTTTTAAACTTGTAGACAACGTTTAGATATGACGTTGATCTTTAATACACGTACGTGTTTTGTGACTTTTCAGGGCTGTATTTACACGAAGTGAATGCTGCCAGTCACTTTACGATATATATATAAACCTTCATATATTGTGAATGAAAATAAAACGTGAAATCACTATATATAATGCACGTCGTCATAAGTATATTTACCTTTCATGTCTATAATTATATTTATATCTCAATTGTAGGTAGTTTGCGTTCTTTACAATGAACATTCTTGAGTCTTTATTCTTTTCTGACTGCTGGCCCAATAGAACGAATATTGCAAATACACCTACTGTGTCAAAAGGCGTTACTTTTTTGTATCTATACCGTGCTAAATTATTGCAATACTACTTTAGAAAGTTATAAAATCAAAAATAAGAAGGCTTACAACGCAAAAATGGAACATTAAAGTATAAGAATAATATTATACCGCAGCAACTTACCGTTCTCGGTGCTGTACCCCCATTGCATGATGACTGCTGTGTGTTGGTGCTAAGTCTGAACTGACGGGCTGCCTGCCTGCTTGATACTAGGACTTGTACAACCAGGGCCGAGCAATATAAGGGCGGGGTGTTCACACTGTGCGGCAGCTATTGTTTAGGGTAATTTAGCTTGTCTTCCGTGCTAATCCCTACAACAATAGAAGGATTAAAATGGGGAATATCGTACAAACAACAACCTAGAAGGTTTCCACTCCAGAATCGGCAAGTCCCTCCAGCACAAGCATCCAAACATCTTCAGATTTATCGAACTGATCCAGAAGGTAGAAATTTCGGAGAGAGCGAAACTAGCGCAGATGCAATTTGGATTTGGAGCAGCACCACTACCAAGGAAGGTTGTCTACAGAGAGAAAGAACATCGCCTTGTCCGACTCAAGGAACAGCTTCATCGCCGTGAAAAGACACCCCTTCAGTACCTGGATGCAGTTGGTCCACTGATGATAAACAAGTGAAAATGACTGATAATCATGAATGACAATGAAATAACATTTGAATAAAAATTTGTGAACTCTACCCAGCTTTCTTTCTTGTTACATGGGTGATATCATTTTACTTAATCAAGGGTACAGGGTACTTATTACTGATGCAACAAGGCATAACGAGTGTTGTTTTAACGGGTCTGCGTTTTGGCAGGTCTACGTTTTGGCAGGTCTACGTTTTGGGAAGATACCATCGTGCCGACTGGTTCTGGTTCATTGGTTTGGTTTGTTTGTTGTTTAACGCCGCACTCAGCAATATCACGGCGGTTCTGGTTCATTGGAGAACTAAACACAATTATATTCTAATATATTTATTTCACACATATTCAGTCACATTACACATATTGTACAAACAACATGGCTGATTCTAGGGCATGGAACCAATAGTCATCTATAGCACAAGGTTGATGAGAGAGAGGGCTGATGCTCGTCTCACAAAAAAGTTAACATCAGGATTGTTTGCAGAGGCAGTTTGCAGATCACACTTCTGAACATTGCGCCAAACTGTCTGTCGGAAGTGAAAAAGGCAACCTTTCAGTTTACAGGTTACACACAACCAAATGTTTTCCCATAGACTTCTATAGTAACGTTATATTTTTTTTAAATAAATAAGCATTCAACAGCTATTACCTGTACGTGTGTGCACAGTTTGGCCTTAGAGCAGCAATAAAAAAATAAGGAATGACTAGCTTAGCCAGCTCCTTTTCCGAGTACAGGAAGCTAAACACACCACCCCCAGTTTCGCACCAAATGTCACCTACTTGAAAATAGCTGTGGTCACATTCAACATAGGTCATCATGTTGAAAAAGACAGTACTAAATATAGAAAAACATGGTCAGTTTTAATAACTGGATGGATGTACATTTGAAAGACATAAAAATCTTACAGAATATCCTCCAATCACAGCCTGCAGATATCTCTTGATCTGCACCTACGAAAACCGCACTGTCCAAACTGGTTCTGATTTGGTGTAGTAGAACCTTTACAGACAAACACGTGTTTGACAGCTGTGTACAGGCTGCCGTGGTCGCTGTAGAACGTGGGGACGGTGTTCACTACATCAGGGCCTTCAATAGCACGTACGAGTAGTTCGGATAGCAAAACTAGAGATGGTTAATAACAATGCCAAGTTCATGAAATATACTAATTAGTGTCGACAGTGTAGCAATGCATGACGGCTAATCCGAATTATCTTAATTAATACGAAATAATCTGCTGGCACAGTGGAAACAAACCATATAGCCAACCATAGTGAGTGTCATGTCGGGTTCATCAGATCTGATACACAGGGATATGTACGTTAAAACAAAAGATTAGTGACCGTGGAGATTAACGTATGTTGACTGACGCTTTATAGCCCTTTATGCAGGATTATGTTTGGTATCGGATCAGAAAGGTAGTGTATTTTTACGTTGTTGTCAATGTATAATGCGTAATCATTGATGTATTTATTGAGTAATACGTGTACCTATTGTGAATGGCGGTAGCTTGTCAGTGTGTGCAGTGTGTTGGATTGAATATACGTCGGTAAAGTCATATCCTATGTTATTCTTGAACATCACGTTCTTGTTCATGTATTTGATCAGATCTCTGATAGATATGAATTCACTCTAGCAGTTTGTGTATATTTGTTATTTATCATATAGTATTACGCCTTGTCACATCTTAATATATCTTGCAGAAGAGATTTCTTTTTTCTTAAAAAATAATCTAAGGGTTGTTTTGTGGAAATCCATCAGTCGATGCATCTCGACAGCAGAACTAACATGCACAGTTTGCAAACAGAACAAGGACGCCTGGAATTACACGGAATGCATGACATCAACTGAAATTGACAACGCAAATTTGAGTGACAGATCTGTTGCACACATGTCCAGCTGTCAACCATACGTCATCATGCGACAGTCGCGTGCATTGATTACGCATGGGCGGATGCAGCTTTAATGAAAAGGGGGGGGGGGGGGGGGGGGTGGGTGGGGTGGGGGGTGGTGGTGGTGCACAATTAAGATCTTTTTATTGTCTTTGGTGGTAATTTATACAGAAATAAAGATTGTTTTCTTCTCCAAGATTTTAATAAGATCCCATCAGCTTACGCTATTGCCAAAGAGCTGAAGCACAAAAATATTATAAGAATAAATAAGTGTGTATATAAGAGGGTATGTTGTTGTCGGGGACAACGTTTTTAATCTTACAGGGTCAATTGACATGCCCAAAAGCTTAAACGAAACTAAAATTGAATACCCCAAAGTGGCTTAGTAATAACAGGTGCGCTGGAAAAAAAAATCACTGATCACATTCATCCTTGGCTCCGAAATGTCCCAAACGCTTGCTCATCAGCAAACGCATAATTAAAATGCCTATTCAACCCACTGAGGTCGAAAAAACCCAAGCGACTACTGATCATGATCACTCTACTTAGCAAACAAAAGAATCTGACCACTTGCTCACAGACAGAAAGCCACTGCACAAACGCAAGGGTGAAAAGTCCCAAGCCCCCAAATCAAACCCCATGCCTTCTAATACTCAAACTGAGGCACACAGCCAACAAATCAGTCAGGTCAGTCAGGTAGGCAGGGGAATCCCGATCAGATGTAGTCAGGGTTTTCAATGTAGGACCCTATGGGATCGGTTTCAACAGCATGGGTCAACAAAATCGGGACGACTAACAGTAAGCACCCCCGCCCAAGATCGCTCCATCCGACTGCGCCACCTACGTGAAAGGATGACCACAGCCACCTCAACAGCATTCCAAATACCCGGACTGCGCAGAATCTCCGACCAGACCGTAGGAAACCGTTTAAGGGCAACAGGTCTACGAGCACGACGTCCTGTTCGACTCGTCATATTGAGTCGACAACATCGTCACCAACGACTGCATTCGTGTCGTCAACACAGGGTATGGCCTCAACTGCGATGGAGAGATGTCTGGTTCAGCGACGAATCAAGATTTCTCCTCCATCGAGGGGATGGAAGAGCACTGGTCCACAGACGTCGGGGAGAACGTTACGCCGGAAACAGGAAGTGGGTGGATTTGGTGGGGGTAGCGTTATGATGTGGGCGGCTGTCTCTCATGGCAAGACAGGTTTGGTCGATATCCAGGTTAGTGAGCATATTGTTATTATTCCTTAAATAGTTATACACATGTTTAAATGAACATTTTTCAAATATATTTGCTAAACAACTTGTGAGCGTAGCCGGTCTGTAATTTGTACATTTATTCACGCTATTCTTCTTATGAATAGGAATGAAAAGAGCTTCTGTCCTTAGTGATGGTAATATTGCTCGTTGAGAGAAATTGAATAGTTCAGTAAGCATTTGGACTAGACTCTAAGCTGTATTTTAAGTACTTTATTTCCAATACCACCAGGGCCAGTTGACTTTGTGGTGTCTACGGACAGGTGTATATCCCTAACTTCATCTTCCATCAAAATTATATTTACTGATCGATTATCAACTTTATATAGTTCTATAGGGTGGAAAGTGGATATCAGGTTTACATATACGAGATTTGTCCACAAAGCTATTGAGAATATTAGCAATATCCATGTAATTATCATACAACCTATCCCCCAATATCATTTGGGGAAAATTGTGTTTTGCAGTTTTAAATTTAAGAAATTCCTTTACTAAACGTCATCATGTCTTTAAGAACTATTCATTACCGTATCAATGTTAGATGCATATGCTTTCTTTTCCTTACGGACATAGTCGATTACATTATTTGCTAAATTTACTAAATTTTCCCAATCAGATGGAGTATTACGTCTTTTATTAGGAATATGTTTACCACAAACTTTTATAATTCGAGATGTAGATTCGTCAGTAATTGTGTTCACATCCCCCGATGAGAATACTAAATCACCATCAATATTCAGCAAGTCTGTATTTAAACCATCTAGGTCTGCTATGGAAATAATAATGCACTTTACGTTTAAAGGGATTATTTCTTTTATAGTTACAAAAATTGGACTGTGGTCGCTACAAACTGGATCAAGTACTCCCGAGCCCCGTACACTATCAACGTCTGTCACAAAAAGTAAATCTATCAACGTACTGGAATGTATGGTGATCCTCGTAAGTTCTCTAATAATTTGTGAGTTTGTGAAAGTCCATGCACCATTTGCAAATATTCGATTTTTTTATTATTCTCTCGAATTATATCTATATTAAAATCTCCTGCAATTTCAGTATACATATTCATATCAACTGTGTTTCCTATTCATTGATCAATTCCCAAAACGCTTCACTCTTATCTGCATGTTGAACAGTACCAATTAAATAATCACGAGTTTTGCATTTATCATGTACTCATATCGCATCTAGACCAACTATAAGCGGATACATATATTTGACATACATATTATCTCTAACGTAAATAAATATGCCACCCCCTCGAGTTGACCTGTCTTTCCTAAATGGACTTGATGCATGTCATCGTATCCGAATTGCGTGGATCGATGCTCATGATGTCTATCACTGGATTGTCTGGAATGACTGGTTGCAGACCGCCGTCATATAGCTAGAATATTACTGAGTGCGGCGTTAAACAACAAACAAACCTTAAATGGAACCTGGATACCAGGAATAAATATGTCGCTGTTTTGTATACCCATGTGGAACCATGTTTCAGATATGCAAATTACATCATTATGTCTAAGTTCAACTTCAAGGATATATAGTTTGTCTTTTATACTACGAACGTTTAGATAAATAATCTTTAAATCTGTGTCTATTAAGGATCTTGGGTAAAGATGAACATCTCCACAGCAGAGGGTGAGTGAGTTAAAATTTAACATCGCTTCGGTAGAATTTTAGCCATATAGCGACGAGACCAAGTTAATATGTTTACAATTGAGTCATTTATGCAAAGTTATATTTAAAAACTATGAAAAGTGGAGCAGTATTGAAAGGAAAAAAATGAAACTGATGAATCATATAAGCAGATAGACTTAAAATAAATATGAAGATTTTAAATTTTGATTCGTGTTTAGTATGGAGGTAAACTGCAAAGGACCCCTCCGCTTTGTTACACCCCTTAATGTAAAAAATTCTCTTAAGGTAAAAAATGTTACATTAAGGGTTACGTGTTAACTCTTATTGTAAAAAAATGACATCAAGATGATTTTTACATTCAGGGTTGCGAGTCGTTACGACTCGCAACCCTGAATGTAAAAATTATTTTTGTTTACATTAAGGGTTAATATCGTACATATCGCCCCTTAATGTAAAATATTCTTATTAACAAAGTTTCATTGGAAATATAGGATATTTTTTGCTATTTTCACGTTTTTTATTGTTTTTGCTCGGTTTCTTGCAATTACTCGTCATAAGCGACAGCGTGAGAAACTGACTTTGCTCAGATCTGAGAACAAGAGGGTCTATTATAAGAATGTCAGGCTCGTTATTGAGGACATGCCAGCTACTACTCTGCAAGGTGATGAGCATCAGTTGTCGGCTCCAGTCGCAGATCGCGACTCAAGTGGAACATCGTCAACTGTGGATCAGGAGCGGGTGCTGCCGTCAAGGTCGAAGGTTATGCAAAAGCATATCTTACATTGCAAGGAATATAGAAGTTTTTGTCTGACATTGGCTTTGTTTCTTGTGTATCTGAACATGGCATTGTTGCTTTAAATAAGCATAGTCAATAGAAAATTACTTTAGTGACGTTTTTCCAGAATATAAACTTTTTGTTTACCAGCCACAAAAAGGCCCTACAGGAGGCATTCGGGAGGAATACTTTTTATAAAATATTCACTGGTAAGATATGCTATTGATGTTCGATACAGAGAACATGCTATTACTATTCTGTTGGATAAAAGTATGTTTGGTTTCAGTTGAGCTACATTATGTGTGTTTACATATATCCAGTCGGAGAGATCGACCTGGTAAGACAAAATGGGGTAGAGATTTTGCTGCATTTTTTATTGAGTACACTGGAAGGGAACCCATCTTTTTTATCAATGTACTTGGATTTGTTTGTTCTTTAACGCCGCGCTCAGAAATAGTCTATCTGTATGATGGCGGTCTGTAAATAATCGAGTCTGGACTAGACAATCCAGGGGTCGACATCATGAGCATCGATCCACGCATTTTGGATTTGATGACATGCATCAACCAAGTCAGCGAATCTGAACACCCGAACCCGTTGGTTGCCTTTTATGACAAGCATAGTCGCCTTTAACGGCAAGAATGGGTTGCTGAAGACCAATTCTACCCCGGATCTTCGCGGGTCCAATCTAATGAACAGTAGAACCGGTGTGACGCGGGTTTATGTGGAGAACGACCGCCTCCGTGGTCTAGTGGTAGAGCGTCCGCTCGGAGAGAGGAAGGTCTGGGGCTCGATCCCCGGCCGCGTCATGCCAAAAGACGTTAAAAGATGGTACTTGTTGTTACCCTGTCTGGCGCTCGGTATTAAGGGGCTAAAACAAGGACTGGTCGGCTCGGAGTCAGTATAATGTGTCTGAGTGGGGTATTCATGTTAAACTGCGGCCTGGTATCTCAGTTCGCTAGCACAATAAATCGGCATCAGTCCGGACTAGTACAAGCAGCCACACAAACACACACACGTACATGCACGTCGCTATATAAGTGCAATAATCTTGGACGCGACGTTAAACCCCATTTCACCTCACCTTTGTGGAGAACGATGTTATTCACCATGTTGAATGTATTAATTACTTTGTTTTTACACAATTTTAAATAGAAAGATATTCAGGTGATAAATTACTAAATAGCTTTGTAAAAAACTCTTTTGGAAATGTGTTCAATTCTGAACATACATATTGTGAATGGAAGATTTGGAACTGACTATCAAATCGATGACTGTACATTTATTGGGCATTTAGTGAGTGAGTGAGTTGGGTTTAACGCCGCTTTTAACAGTATTGCAGTTATATCACAGCGTGTCAGCTTAATGTGGGAGGAAAGCCGGAAGTGATGCAGGCCTCAGACGTTTACTTATTTGGTGAAACCCACGAGCACCGCCACCCGTGTCCCTATTAGGCATTTAGGGTATAGTGTGATAGATTATGGTTTAGCATCGAATGATATGTTCCCCGATGATGATGAATGTCTCTGTAAAAAAACATGAACGATGCCCTTCAGAATGCGTTCAGAAAATAACAAAGTTTGCAATGTATACAGATAAGGACCAGCTTGCACAATGTGAAAGGAGTGACCAAAAAAATGCAGCACCGGTAGACTCTAAACGTTTCTGGGACATCATAAAGCGTGTGTCTGAACGACCGCAACGACCCAACCCTATTGATATACAAGACTGGGGGACTTTCTCGTCGCTGAATTCTGATCCAATGGGTATTCAGGATAATCTTGGTGGGGTGGAGGACAGTGACATGTCAAGGTTATGTGCAAGAACTGACAATTGACATATTAGAATCCCCAGTCACCAGATCCGAGCTTTTTGAAAGCATCAGTGCCAAGAAACATAATAAATCAGCTGGCCTTGACGACATCTATGTGGGTGGTATGACCATTCGTTTGTTTGCACAAGGATCATGGCTTTCTCGGTACTGTGATCATGGCTTTGTCGGTACTGTGATCATGGCTTTGTCAGTACTGTGACCATGGCTTTGTCAGTACTGTGATCATGGCTTTGTCAGTACTGTGATCATGGCTTTGTCGGTACTGTGACCATGGCTTTGTCAGTACTGTGATCATGGCTTTGTCAGTACTGTGATCATGGCTTTGTCGGTACTGTGATCATGGCTTTGTCGGTACTGTGATCATGGCTTTGTCAGTACTGTGATCATGGGTATGTCAGGAGTATGAACATGGGTGTGTCAATACTGTGACCACGCGTTCGTCAATACTGTTATCATGGGATTGTCAGTAATGTGATCTTGGGTTTGTCAGTACTGTGATCATGTGTAAAACATATCCATATTTAACACACTGGACTATCCTACCGACTTAAGCTGACATCTGGAACATCTTCCACATCAAGGTTTCACATGAAACCGCCATTTTGGACTGTATTGTACTGTAATCATTGGTTTGTCAGTACTGTGGTCATGCCTTTTTCAATACTGTGATCATGAGTTTGTCAATACTATTATCATGAGTTTGTCAGAACTGTGATTATGTGTAAAACCTCTCCATATGACACGTTGGACTATGTTTCCGACTTCTGACATCTGGAATTTTGTCCACATCAAGATTTCACATGAAACCACCATTTTGGACTGTATTGTACTGTGATCATGAGTTTGTCAGTACTGTGATCATGAGTTTGTCAGTACTGTCACAATGCGAGTACTATGATCGTGGGATTCAATAGCAAAATAACACTGATACCATATAATACATATGTGACAGCTGGACCACCCTTCAAAATTAGGCTGACACGCCGTGACTAAAATTCTGAAACATTTTCAACGACATGTCACCAAACCACCTTTTTGGTACCAGTGGATGGATGCATGGCCAAACAAGAAGAACAGTGCACATCTCTTAATCAACAACTATATACTAGTCAATGATTTATTGCAATAGCAAAAGAAAATAATAATGACATCCGTCCCTATGGACTTCCGCACAAAAATATGATGAAAGACGTTGCATTAATGTTGAAATGACATGATCCATTCACACCACAACCTCTCATACTCAGTTCAGTGACCAATATTATGGGCGCTGGGTTGTCCACAGAAGACCTGGAATAACCGTTTTATCAGTTCTTGCCATCGGGTTACAATATCACACCAAGTGGAACATAAATTGTGAGCCCTTTGTGCTTTCCCACCATAATTCATGTTCTAAATACACGAAACAACAACTCCACATGCTCAAGTCAACCTTTCGTTCTTCCGGGAACAAAATTGAATAATGTCAGCTCATTGAATCGTCCCAGTTGAATTCTAATGATCATGATTCATATCTAGTGCTCTGTTAAACTTCTGATGAAATCTCACAATGTCAGTCCATCCCTGTTGTGTGATCGTCACAAACAATGTCTGCAGTGTTCTACAATTCCTTCCGCCAGTCGGGGTCGGTCAACGTGATCTTCATTCCTTGTGTCAGTCAGATATCGTTGAAGCCACAGTTATTTCAGTCATTAATGAAATGCTGCACGGATCTTTCTGCTGCCTAGCTCACACGGTGGCCTGTAGTTGTCGACGATGCAGTCGCCGTCGCAGTCCCCACAACACAGACTTCGAAGAGCCTTTAACTGAAAGCAGAATAAACTTATTCAGAGATGGAATGATAAGAGACAATGGATTTAATTTAAATCTCAACTTTTAGTCGCTTTAACCGATGATCTTTTAGTCGATGAGTATAAAGGCTTCATATATTTATATACTGATTTTCTTAGAATGAATAATGTTTGTTCTTATTTGACAGATCAATATTGATATTGTATTGCACGGCGAATGAAATAATAATTTTGCCTACGGGACAAACAGGAGACTTCTTGTCCATTTAATGCGGACTTATTATGTGTAATAATAAATTGGTGAAATGAAGACTACGAGAAGATTATCAATTTTCAACCACATGATTGAAATGTGATTTTGAAAGATAAGATGTCTCAGATACCCATCAGCAGATGTGTATTATGTGAAAAGTATGTTTTCGTTTTTAAAGTTATAAATCAAATCCTAATTTAAAAAATGTAACTACGTGCAAGCATGACTACTGACTTCCCGCCATCACAGTTTATTTTTGGGTTACAGTATTGCTAACCTAAGATATTCCCAGCTGAGTGAGTGAGTGAGTATGCTTTTACGCCGCTTTTAGCAATATTCCAGCAATATCACGGCGGGGGACACCAGAAATGGGCTTCACACATTGTACCCATGACGGGAATCGAACCCGGGTCTTCGGCGTGACGAGCGAACGCTTTAACCACTAGGCTACCCGACCGCCCCTATTCCCAGCTGAAGTTCAAATATATGATAAAATCAGCTGAGAGGTATAGTAGCTTTTGCTCCTGCATTTATGTTCATTTTAATTCTTCAAACGATACACTGATTTGAATTAGCTTTTAATGAAATATATTCTTTATAAATGTAGATAATCTGTGATTACCTGACTCTCCGACACAACCATGTGTTCTTTAAATACTATCCACGTGACACTCTCGTAGCAGGGGGGCGTGGTCAGAGACCCGGGATAAGTCCAGTACTCGGACATTGTGTCTGAAGTGAAGAAGAAATATTAAACGTGATTTCTACATACACATACAGGGGTAAGATTAAGAATAGAAGTTTATTTGGACACTATTTTTATTTATACGACTTAACCGTGTCCAGTTGCAAAATTGCTTATTCGGCATATCCGCCATTTAAATATTTTGATTTATATTGAGTCATCCAGTGTTTGTAGCTGATAGAAATTATTGTTCTCCGTGCTGTGATATGAATTTTACAAGGAACGGATAAATATATTACTGGGTATGAACGGAGCCCTTTGTTTCTGGAATAAGGAAAATGAATTGACGGATAGCGAGTAGGGTAAAGACAGATGGAAAGAGGGAAAGATGGATGAATGAATGAGAACTCACTTGGGAGGAAACATTTGGGGTTGAACTGGCCTTTGACCTGCTCATGTTTGGAACGGAACTTGACAGCATCTAAACCGTCGGTAAAAGGTTTGAAACCCGGATGCTCAGCGCCAACCTGAAGATAAATGCGTGTAAATCACCCTCAAATGCGTGTCACTTGATCTTCTCTCAATGCGATCACTTCGGGATTGGATAGCACATTAACATTAACCCTGCGTTTTGATTGAAATACTGAAATTGTACGTCTTTTTAAGGATCCAACACCGGTAATTTATGTATAGTACTTGATTGTAGAAACAAATACAGTTTCATTATTTTAATAATGGCCTTCTGATGTTGAAATAAGTAAATCAAAGTATGAAAAGAATTCATAAAATATACAATTCACTTGTTACGTTTTTCACCAAACCTTTTCCTTGTAATACACATGTTACATGCGAGTCATTCGCTGCGAAGGCCTAAAGGAAGAATGTACACGTTCCATTAAGGCGAGACTTCAGTTGTGGGGACCTACCTCCAAGAAGATTCCAAACACTGCCAAACCATCAGGTTTGTCTGCTGCTTCGCCGAAACTGGAGTATTTATCACGGTTCCAATGGACTAGATGAAGCTGAAAACATATATTCATTTCTAAAAAACGAACACAATATCGAAAAGAATATCGAAAATATTGAAAAATGTTTCCTTATGAGTGTGCGTGTTTACTTCTGGCAAGTCTAACTGGAGTGTATATATGTTGGTTTTGGTTTGTTGTTTTGTCGGCCATTAGTTTAGAAGGTATGTCAATAGGTCATTAGTTTACATATATAGAGTTCATATACATAGGGAAATCATACGTTTGTCGTGGTCTTATGATTGACTGAAATAACAATGTACACACTGACGAAGGATATATTTGACATGTGGTCTTGGTGAGAGTACCTCAGACTAGATCCGTGAAGATCCGGGTTAGAATAAGTCTTCCGCAACCCATGCTTGCCGTAAAAGGCGACTATGCTTGTCGTAAGAGGTGACTAACAGGGTCGGGTGGTCAGGCTCGCTGACTTGGTTAAAGAATGTCATCGATCCAAATTGCGTGGATCAGTGGATTGTGTGGTCCAGACTCGATTATTTACAGACCGCCGTCATATAGCTGGAATATTGTTGAGTGCGGCGTTAAACAATAAACTAACCAACCAACCTTAGACTAACACTTTGTCAATAAAAACATGTCTTTAAAATAATTGAAAAAGAGATCTTCGAAAGAACCTTTCCTCTCCTGCTGTGGAATCAAGTAAACTAGATTTTGTAAGTTTGATCGAGACTTGCCTAGGCTTTTAGTAAAACAAAATCCTAAAAAATATAATTCCAAGCCATGGTGCAGAACTAAGAGTACCTCGGCTGGGAATGTCTTGCCCTCCACTGTGTGCTCCGACCCCCTCTCGTCACATGACCCCCAGTGGAGATGGAACTGCTCAAGTTGATACGTGCTGTCCAGGGGGCCCCCTGAGATAGCTGCAACACAGTTACAAAATGTTCAACACCAGCATGCCATATATGGGCAAATCTGTATCGGATGCTACAGTGAAAGGATGATATGTCGTGGCTTGGAACTTGCCAAACATTATTAAACAATATTATGTTTATGATTATCTGTAAAATGGAATTGTGAGGTAGTGTATCTGGTGTTATTATATACCTATGTTACGATGTATAAAACAGCTCCGTGAATTTATTGTATTAAGCTGTCTGGTTGAAAAACGGATGGTTTGCTAGGTGGTGTTTAAGTCGAGAAAAGTTGGATATGGGTGGATGTTTTGAGGGGGTGGGGGTGGTGGGGGGGGGGGGGGCAGTTGGATATGGGTGATGGTTTGAGGTGGGGGGGGGGGGGGGGGGCAGTTGTATGTGGATGGATGGTTTGAGGGGGACAGTTGGATGTGGATTGATGGTTTGAGGGGGCATAGTTGGATGTGGGTGGAGTGTTTGAGGAGGGGACAGTTGGATGTGGATGAATGGGTTGAGGGGGCACAGTTGGATAGGGGTGAATAGTGGAGAGTTTGTGTTACAACCCCATGGGGACACCTGGTACAAATGCCACCAACAACCTATTCTTGTTCTGAGGGTGGAGTTAAGTTGTTCGTGTAGTCAAGCTCGGTTCAAGCGTCCAGTCACGCGTTCACATGGCCCACACTCGACTATTCACAAGCCTCTGTAAAATAGTTTGATCTTGCTGATGTTTATTTAAAGTGGAACTCACTCGACGGTTCCCGGATATTGGCCTTGACGGAGAACCCTGTGTTCTCGAAGTCCATGTTCTGTTCGATGAAGTACTTGACAGAAAGAGGGTTGGCCTCGAGCTTCTGGTCGAACTCGACATTGGTCGAGTTGATGTCCACAGGAGACTGTTGCTTGCCCGCGGCTATGGGGAAGTTGTTGACCCATGACTTGGGTCCTGAAAAACCAGGAATATCATGTGATGACAGACAATGTGGCATAATGATACCAGACAACCTGACATGACAGACTTTAAGACAAAATTATAGCGTTCCTACGACGATCTGGTTTCCCAAATGCAGCACATGTATCCGACCTGAACAGGCAGTGTCAAGGAAGATAACCGTGGAGCATGCCAAGTCGAAACGGGTTATATTCAAATTAAGGGTAGGTTGGTGATGACATAACTATTTATCACAGAATAAGGACTGACATTGCACAGTTTCTGGTGAATTAATAGGTTTGTATTGGGCGGGGTAGGTTTTGGAGATGTTTTATTATGCAATTAATCAGAATATTGTGACCTTAGTAACAGAACCGGCCAAACCCATATTCTATGTATACAATCGAAATTATTTCTATGTTCAATATTCCGCGAGTGTCAGTGTTATCTCACACTGTAGCATGTGCCATGTTGCTGACATACCACGCCAAATTAGTCAAGTGGATTTCGGTTGTTGCTTGTTTGGTGTTTGTTGTGTTTGAGTCTGGTGTAAACCAATGTCACACAGGCTGTGTACATCCTCGTGACATTCAAGCAAGCATAAACATATCCGTTATTATCAAGAATATACGTAAGTTATGACAAGTTCAAGCGCATTTTGAAATGTCATATATTCAACCCAATGAAAGGTTAAATGTCCATATGTATGACGTCATTCAGAGGCATGAAAAGATATTGCAAAAAACAAAAGTTGTTTGGCATTGTGGCATCGTGGAGAGAGATATAACTATCCACGTCCATACGGCAGGGTATGAAACTCCCAAAAAATTCAGCCAGACCACAGGACTGGCTAGCTGAAATACTTGCCAGCCCTGACCAAAACCTGCCTGCCCACTATAATCATATGTTTCTCAGGATAAGCTAACGGGGTTTCTTTTTGGTTACATTTTATCATTCATCTTTACATGTGAATTAATGCTTATCATCGGGAAATATTTTGAATATTTTCACATATGAAATATAACCAGACCGTCGGGCAGGGGGATTTGAAAATCTGGCAGCCCGAGTTGAAATCAACCCGTCTCGGACGGTCGGGCAGGCAGGTATTTCGAACACTGATGCCATACGGATGAACGTCCTCGTACGTTTTACACGGAGATATCTGCTTCTCCGGGGCAATAACCTTTCATATTTCGGACTGTGGTATTTGTTCTATATTAATATTTATCGTATATTGTTTCTCAAAGGTGTACACATTCTTGTATATATTATACGGTAATAACCATCTCATTTAAACAGAAACATGCTAATGCCATAGGTGATTTTATACATAAATTGATAATAATCATATCATTTAAACAGGGGAAAATGTTAATAATGCATATGTAAGATGTATAGAGATGTACACAGAGATATCCGTACCCACATATCACTCATATCTGTCGTACAGATATAAAAAATAAACATGGAGTGTCTGAGCAACATCCGAACTCAATCGATCTCAATCGATTGAGATTTATATTTCTTCCTGTTAACATTGTTTCAATTCAATATATTAAAATAAACATTAAATCATAACTTGTAGTAGTTTACTGATCGTTTATAGAAAAATAGTGTTGAATATGGCTTAAGATTTATCTGGGAATTGCCGTTATACTTAGGCGCTGTTAAAACCTGGTCATGTGGTATGTAAATAAGGATTAAGGCTGCTCCCTGTTATACACAAAGAGCCATCAGGGACGGCATCCGTCGTGCACAGTCCGTCGTGTCCTGTGTGAAGGCACCGCGGGTATCGGGAGGTCGATGGCGTTCTGCCAGACAACTGACGCGGTTGCACTGACTTCATAAGCCCCACCTGACAAACTTAATGGGTATTTGTCACTTTTACCTTACCAACAGATACAACAGACCTATGTTAAGAGAAGAATATAGGTGTCACTTGTGGAGCATTCCCGTAACGAGCGGTGCACCTTGCCTTAAGGGAAACGCCGGCACTGCTTGTAATATTTTAGAAGTTTTAAAAAAAGGCGTTTCTACGAAGTAGCACAGAGATTTTAAATAGATACTTTGAAGAAGTTTATAAAAAGAGACAAAACCTAACTGTGAAGTTTGCAAAAATATTGCATTCACTGAACATTGGAACTTGAAGTTATCCAAAACAAAATCAATTGTATTTGGAGGATCTGCAAAAGAAAATAAACTTCAATTTAAAATGGGCCATCAAATCGTTGAGGTAGTGGACTCCTACTCCTTTCATGGAGTGGTACTAATGAGAACAGGATCTTATAAAGCCGCTGTCAATACACTGAGAGGAAAGGCTATGCGAGCATGGTATAAGATTAAACGTTCACTGAACATCAACTTCTCATCTGCTAGCAGACATTCTCCTACGCACATATGTCTTAATCGTACCCATTGCGTCATCTGGAGCCGAGGTATGGGGCTGCAAAAAAGACCTCTAAAAGACCTGCGCACGAAATGTATCAGAGTTGGTCAAAATTATTATCAAATGAGATCACAATCAAAATAGATAAGCAGATCCCGAGAATGCCAAAAAGACAGGTAATATTGGATGCGTCGGTGAATTAAGCATGTACTCTGATTCTGTACATATATATGTCCATGTATAAGTTTTACCATTGCATGAGAGACATAGATTATGACAGGCCTCTATATGCTGCGCACCAGGGGGATATTCATTTGGCCTCCAACAAATGTCCTGTACATCTCCTGTTAAAGATCTGATGACACACCTATTTCAAAAATTCAAAAGTGAAAATGTCACTTACTCAAAATTTAATGAAGCTCTTCAAACCAAATTAAGAAATATATTTCTCATTGAAAGTGACCAAGCAAACATTGATAGCTCAAATAGACATTTAGGAATTATCAAAGATAAATTTGAACTTTAGAAGTATGTTTCAACAGTAAAATGTAAAGATCATAGATCAGCTCTAGCTCAATTAAGACCCAGTTGCCATAATCTGGAGATTGCAAGAGGCAGATACCAACACGCCTGCCGACTAGGTACATGTAGAAGATGACATACACTTTCTTCTGTGCTGTCCTCACTACAGTTATGAAAGACAGCTGCCTCTTGTAACACTAGATTTATCAAACTGTCAAAATGATAACGATGGTTGCTATTATCTTGCATCCCTGTTTAGAAAAAGCTAAATCTGTCACAAAAATACTTTATTTTTACTCTACAGTGTAGCTGGTTGTTTTCTGTACAAAAGAAATTCTTGATTCTATAATAAGAGCCCGCCCAAAAGAACGAATACTGCGAATACTGACGGTGTGTTAAAAGCCTTTATCGATGCCCTGCCGAATTATTGCAATATCATTTTAGAAAGTTGTAAAATTCTAAATAACAAGAACTATTACACCGCAGCAAATTACCGTTCTCGGTTCCGTATCCCCAACTCATGATGACTGCTGTGTGTTGGTGCTAAGTCTGAACTGACGGACTGCCTGCCTGCTTGAGACTGCTGACTCGACAACCAGGGCGGAGCAATATATAGCCAACCAGCCTGCAACAGCACATGAACATGACATGACAGGAGATTGGTCATGTCGGGTTCATCAGATTTGATAGATACATAACATCAATTAAGTGCAACGTTCTCAACTCATCCCTTGAGAATAAAACATGGGGATATTTACGTCAAAACAAAGGATTAGTCATTGTGGGGATTAACGTATGTTGACTGTACTTTTATCGCCTTAAAGCAGGGTTACGTATTTGTATCGGATAAGGAATTTTAACAGTGTAGTTTTACTTTGTTATCAATGTATAATGCTTAAGATTCTTAAATTGAGATGTATGCATGTATTGAGTAATATGTCACTTGGCAGTGTGTGCAGTGTGTTGGATTTAAAATACGTCGGTTAAAGTCATACCATTTTGTTTCATAACATGTCATTCTTGTGTTTGGTCAGATCTCTGATGGATATGCATCCACTCTCACAGTTTGTGTTAATTATTATATATCATATCGCATTACGCCTTGTCATATCTTATTATATTGCAGTAGCGATTGCTTATTCTTTCAAAAATAAAATCTAAGCTTTGTGTTTGTGCAAGTAAAGTCACCAGTAGATGCATCTCGACAGCAAAAATAACAGGAACAGTTTGTAAACAGAGAAAGGACGCCAAGCATGGAATGCATTTCATCATCGTAAATTGAAAGGGATATTTAGGTGACAGATCTGTCGTACACTAGGCCAGCTTTCATCCATGCGTCGTCATACGACAGTTGTGAGCATTGATTAGGTCCAGTTATGTCTGTGACGTGGTCATCTATCACGGGGGACAATATATGGACGTGCCCTTGTTCCGGTCATTCCTAACAATCAACACATGAGCGGAATAGACAGGTACTCCCAAATAGAATTACGTCCACATCACCTGATTAACCTGCTCATTTACAACCCTAATCCCCTTATATCTGTGATCTTCGGACCACAGCTCCTGACTAGAACGCTGCAAGTAATTATACAGGAGTACACTGGTGCTTTCGTGGTGACGATTAATTCTTTTACAAAACCGCTGTACCCCTAGTTAGAGTTTAAAATATATCTATATTTGAGGAAGAAGAGACACCTCAATGAGGAAAAGGAATGTCTCTCATTATGAGAAATAAGAACATGTTTTGTGGTTTTCGTCAGTGATATTTCAGATATACAATTTGTTATGTACGACGGTGTCTAATTGATGTAGGCATCAACTGTGTTATTTAACTGGATTTGAAATATGGAACAGTCAGGAGCTACTTCAAATACTTATCGAGGATGATAGAGCCAAGGATTAGTGTAACGCTGCGCAGAAAAGAAGATCTTGTTTTAGAATATAACTGTCAACAGATCAGTAACGTGTGGTCAACAGTCATTCCAGAGCTCTTCTCCCACTGTCCAGCCTAACAATGGCAGTATTATATGACCCCTCTGGTTCCATAACAGAAACTAAATTGGCATCAAGGACATGATAAATTTACACCAGCTGTATACAAGACAGGGCCATGCTGTGGAAGAGCTGAGCCAGGGGTATTAGATTACTTGATTCAAACGGGACTATTCAGTCATACACCGGACACAGGCGTGGATATGCTAATACCACACAAAGCAATAACCTTCCCGTCGCAATAATCCTCAGGAATTGTGTTTGGTCGCACAGCGTGCGATCTAGTGGAACGGGGGACGTTATGACTTATAATGTCCCATCTTACACACAGCACGTCAAAGCCTCTACATACACTAGTGCTGTCCTCTCGCAGCAGATCACATGTAGTCCGCGAACATTCCAGTCATCCCCAACCACAACAATAATCTACAGGAAACTGTGTTTAGTCTCCCAGATAAAAGCAATGGGAGACGATATTCACATTATAACATATATATGCCAGACCACATTAGAAAATTGGATTTTGCGAATGAACATAAAATAAATCTGGTCATATGACCAACAATGGAAACCGTAATTACAAATCAACAGTCCATAGTGACAAGTACATACTTGCAAATAAAACTATGTATATCATAATGTAAATAAATAGTTATATCATATAAACTACAGGACAAACAAATGTATACACTGTTTGATGGTGGCTTATAATGAAACAAACAGGATTAATCGATGGTGATGTATTTCATACGGGTATCATAGTTGCATTTTAGACCTTTAGCTTTTAGTGTTTTACGACTGTTTTCTGCATAGTAACTTTCTAATAACGTTCGTAATGTTTTGGTAAAATCAAATTTGCAAGTGGTTACTTTCACACAGACGGCTCACTTGAGATATAAAGTGTTTTGTGATCTAAGTAGACTAACATCTAGTCTCTGAAATGAACATAGTTTACAGATATAAACAGTTGTTACCTTCTCTTAACAAAACATAATTAAAAGGAACCAGGAGACTCTCTTCATAAATGTAGGCGTGGCCACTAGTATAGAAATGCGTGGGTTGTATTGGATATATTTGTATCAGGGTCTGTATGACAGTCTATGATCTAAGTGACAGTGTGTCAAAATAAACTGATGACGAATGAGTGACGACTTAAGATGGAGCCTGATGTAGGAGGCCGATTAACATGATCCTCACTCCCTGGACAGCTGAGCTTCTGCTTAGCTCTGTATAGTGTTCTGTATGAATATATATTTTCATATTTCATATACCGCATCCGTGCTCTAGAGGTAGAGGGGTTCGATCCCCGGCCGCGTCATACCAAAAGACGTTAAAGGATTGTAAAACAAGAACTGGTCGGTTCGGAGTCAGTATACTGTGCCCGAGTGGGATATTCACGTTAAACTGCGGCATGGTATCTCTGCGTGCTAGCACTATAAATGTAAGTAACTTCCGTTTACCTTTGACAATCTGTTCCCGATGGCCCCATAAACAGGTAAGGTCCTGACTATAAGCCCTCACAATTTGTATCTAATTTAGAAAATAATAAATACGTTTTATCATCTTTTCTCCAGAACATACCTCTGATGTTTAATTACCTTGTTGCACTAACAACAGCTCATTAGCGAGACGAACTCATTGTGGATTAGAGATTAATGGGGTTAGTGTAGTTTCGTGTAGGATGGGGATTAGCACTTTCAGTTGTCTGTTAATTACTCAATTGAGTACTAGTGACGAAGAAGAAGAAGATGTTTATTTCTCATGAATCACCTAGGTGACATAAAGAAGTTGACAATAGAGACATATATACAAAGAAATGAGACAATAGTTAGTGGAGCACACGCAGTCCATATTTTACATACTGGGCTAGTCGTAAGAGGAGAGGTTTATAAGAACAAGTCATAAGTGAAACAAATATTTCAGTATTTGGATATTTACAATAATATAATGGGAGATATTTATTTCTTAAATGATCCAATTCATGGAATATTAGTATAAAATGGAATTCATCACCAATTTTTTTTTAACAAATAGAGCAAAGCCTATCTTCCCTATTGACGTTATATCATCGGCCAGTTTCAATTGGGTGGTTGGTGGTTCTGATTTTAGTAAGCCGTAAATTATGAGGTAAATACAATAAGCAGTCTTCTACTGAGAGGATATCTTTATACAGATTATAATAGTGTCCTTTTGAGGAATTTACTCTTCTACAGTTTTGACGTTAGCCTTTATCCACTGTACACTGGGAAATTCCTGAGACAGCCAAATGTGATTCAGACCTGTACTTTGTAAAATACGTTGGCTTTCATTTACTAGTGGGAACTTAAACTCTGGATGGGCAATTTGGAGTTTGAACAAAAGTTTGTACATTAAACCTGATAATTTGGTTTCTGACAGAACTATTTTGCACCAATATGATACCATTCTTAACTTAACATGGATGTTTAATGGGTATCTCCCCAATTCCCCGTACACCATGAAATCAGGGGTAGTTTGCTTAACCTTCAAAGGCAAACTTAAGTGAACACGTTCCAGTATAACAGTATTTTCGAAGCCCCAAACTTCGGATCCATACAACAATATAGGTTGAACAAGATAGTCAAACAGTTTAAGTTGACAGTCAATTGGTACTTCTAATACTCGTATTTTTCTAAAAATAGCAAACATTGCTCTAGAAGATTGGTCAGATAATAGTTTAATGGCTGACAAAATCGACCGTTGCTTGAAAATAAAATGCCCAGAAAGACGTATCGTTTTTCAATAAGGAGAATCGTATCTTGAAGTCTAAATGTTCAGGCAATTTTAAAAGATCGTTTAGCAAAACCTACAATTTTTGTTTTAGTAGTGTTTACCTTGAGTTTCCAGTGATTACAATAATTTTCAAATACCTTTAAACATGGTTTCAGGTCGGAAGGCGTCTCAGACATTAGGACTGTATCATCCGCGTAAGGAATTACCTATAGCTTGATAAAACTTCCAATTTCTTTTAGAACATAATCATTTACTTTTTCAAGACCAATAACATCGTTATCTGACAAAAAAGACTCAAGGTCATTTAGATAAAGGGCAAAGAGAAATGGCGATAAGTTTTCTCCTTGCCTGACGGCTTCGTCACTGATGCGTTTGCAACCACACTGACTGCTAATCTTCTTATCAAGTCAAATACACTATGTATCATGTCTCTGGAGACCAAGAAAATGTATCTAGATGGCAGGTTTTTCACAAGGTTTCTATTTAGTGAGAATTCACTGTATATGTGACAGTTCGAGAAATACAGTGGGGAAATATATTCTTCTACTTGGATTGTGATAATCTTCTATTTGAACTGTGACGACGATGATGACGTTGTTGTTGTTGTTGTTTTAGGATTGATAAGATTTCTGTTTTTGTATTACTATTTTCGTATTGATATGATATTGGTTTTTAGATATTGATAGAATTTCTTTGTCTGTTCCATCTCTCAGAAAAAAGTTAGTTCGGCATTCGCTTTCGCATCTATTGGCTTTGGCAAATCTACGACAGACAGCGGATCTTGTTTTAACTTATCCCAGACTTGGGCTTGGTCTTGGCATTCCAGTAACACGTGAGCAAGTGGATTCACGTTTATTGCAGTGGGGCTTACCTTGTCAC